CATTTATTACACATCACATGTTGTTATTTAGTCCTTTATAAAACAGATTGAATGAATGAACTAATAGATTTAAAGTACATAGTATCAATAGGTTTGCATGATCACAAAATGTTTTAAAGTTGTTTCTTCTATTCAGAAATGTTTTCTCTTTCTTTTCTTTTCTTTTTTAAAAAAAGAAAACCAGATACCTCCTGCCTACACAATTTATGTATCAAAAGAAATGATTGGCTAACTGTAATCTATTTTACAGATGAATTGGAATTTGCTTGCTTAAAGTATAGTTGATGAAAACTTAATGTTTTTTTTTCTCTCTTAGGAACTATTTAGTTTTTATCGGTCAATAAATATACTATGGTCATTAGACTAACTAACTAGACATAGTCATTAAACACTTTGGTTAATTGTATTAAATAGTTTAAGGAATTATGTAAAAGTTTGGACTGTTATTTAACTAATTCACTGAAAATATCTCGAACTATGATATTAGTTTAAATCTAAGTATGTAAAAGAAACTCTGTCAAATGTTAATACCTAAGTGTGTGTATCTACCAGTTCATTTGCTCTTATGGAGCAAGGTATATTGGCCGTAACCAGCGCTCGCTTTCAACTCAGATACAGGAACATGTCCCAATAGGTGGTTCTACATGAGTGAGAGGAAAGCAGTTAGGAGTTCCATACTTGAACATCTAATCGACTGTAATCATCCTATTGATCCACAGTTTGATTTTAAGGTTGTATATACGATTCATCTAAATCTACCTAGATTTCTTCGTATCCAGTTCCTAAAAATGGTCAAACCTCTTATCATCCATGAGCTTAAACTAAAACTATACGTACAAAAGAAGTACGTCCTATCTTTATCGTTACTTTGGCCTTAATTATTATTATTGTTATTATTATTTCATTTCTCCGTTTATTTACGTCTCATATTCTCATTATTTCATCCATAATTACGCATGTTATCACTTTATTTGTTTTTCTACACTTCTATGACCTTTAATTATTGTAACAAGAAAACATTTTAATCATCTTACCACATTCACGCTATAATTCGTTACTAAGTCTGTTGTTATTATTCGTATTAAATAATCTAGTATTACAATCTTTCTATTACGTCATCTTGGTTATTCCTTATTCACATTTCCTCACGGAACTAGTACTTTAACAAAAAAGTTTCATAAATATACGATTGTACAGTTTGATAATAAACTCGTTGAAAAGAGATCCCTTCGCTGAACTTCGTGCTTTTAATACCTTAGTTCCTGTTTTTGGTTTGATCATGTATTGGAACTGATGATTAGTTATATACTAGGACAACTTAATTGTCTGATGTTTGTTTAGAGAAAATCAGTTCGTACCGTGAACTATCTTTATACTGTTAAAAAAAATGAAAAGGTAAATATATTTAGAGAACATTTTGTATTATTCAGTATTATTCAATCGATTTTCCACTAATGAGAATGAAGAAACATACAACTTTTTTAAAAACTGTCATTGGGACATTTCATCAAATATAACTCTGTATATTCAATGGTTTCTTCTGTAGAAAGTGACATTCTATAAACTTAGTAAATAAGATCTTCAATAATCATTATTCTTCGGCTAGATTTATTAAATTAAACACAGACTGTCTTCTTATAAATAAATGATAAAGTTCTAAGTCGTTTTTTTTTCAAGTAAATTATTCTTGTCCTGTGATCTGATCCCAAAAATATTCACTGAACAAAAAATATATTCTCAAGAACAACAGATGACAGGAAGTAGTAAAATTAACAGTGACATTTTTTTTGTTCACTGAAATAATATTTTTGTAAGCTGATAGTGAATTGATATGATACAAGTTTATTGAGGATGATCAATGACGCAAGGCAAGTTAATTCGACATTAAACAGTTTAAGGCAAGTGAAAAGAAAGCAGTAACTAAAGTATTCGTCCCGACTGATTCTCATCAGTAGATTTATATGAAATCTTGAAGAAACTGATGCTCTGAAAAGGATTTAAATGTACAAAACTCAAAATCATAACAGGAACATTACGATTTAGTTATTTCTGTCATAACTAACCTTTAGTAAAACTGAATTTATTGTAATAGTCGGTTACATAAGACTATAGTATTGTATAACCGCTAAAGATTAGACAAAGAAAGACGTGGGTTATTAATCTTTGAATTATTAATTTACCGTTTAGGTAACACTATAGTATCTGCTTAATAAAACCAGCTATCTATGTTTGAAAAGGTGGTAATTCTTCATTTATGTAGTGAAATTATCAGACAGATCTTACTATTTATTATAGGATAAGTGAAGATGAAATACCATACCATCTCCCATGTTTAGTCATAGCATTTAAATTAAGTATGGAGAGATATAAACCAATTATGGAATTTTTAGTAAAAATAATATTACATATATTTAGTATTCAATGTCTAATGATATCAGCTAGAAAAACAAACATTTAGAGTTAATGAGTGGTTAACAGCTATTATAATGTAATTTAAGACTCATAATCAGTATTGTTCAAGGTTAAGTAGCAAATTATAGACGATTTGGTTAGACTATAATTTATGGACGAACTAATCAGATTTGCGATAACAGATCTTGGATTTTGGTGCAGAATTCATCCATCCATTTGGCCAAATAAAGTCTGGGCATTATAGCTGATGTTAGCTAGTGATGAAAACCCTATATCTGATTCCCAATACTAACCCTCAACTGTAAATCATAATCCTTATTCTTCAAACTGTTTTATAACCCTCATTTAGCTGTAGTATGTAGGTGGACATTCTCAAGGTCTCTTTAGCTTCGCTCAAAGGTCGTCCATAAATTATAATCTCATCGATATTTTTATGTATCAGAATTGTTAAATGTCAACATTATCTAAGATGTAACATTGTTGAACATGATCATTCAAGGAATTAATTAGTAATATACAATTATGACAGTTGTTAATAAGTAAGTATTAATTGATAAAACGCTATTGATTTCCGATAAAAATCATAAAAATCATATATTGGTTTTAACAGTTGGTAATTTATTAGTAATTATGAAGATTTTTCAACAATAAACTAATAAACATATAACTGTTATTTTTAGATGAAGACTGATCAATAGGATTCATCCTGAAGTTAGGAATAATTACTAACCTATCAACATAATGATTTAACTTACTAGTCATGGTAATTGCTTTTCATTTTAAGAAAAATTGATGAAATATTTACAATTTACTATTGTTCATAAGGTCCTATTATTAATCAATGGACAGTATTTCTATTAGAAGAAATAATTCCAGAATTATAAACTAATTACTACTTATTCTGAAAAACGTATCTATATCAAACATATTACTTATCATTTATTAGTAAGTAGTTAATTTGATGTTAGTGACTATGCAATTAATGATTTTAATATTTCCCTCTATGAAGTTTTACAGGCTAAATGTTGCATAAGATGGGAATGGGAACTTCACTTAGTTAAAATAAAATGCATTTAGTCTTCAAATTTGAAATTTTTTTCATATTGTTTTTTCCCGAGTATATAAATATAATAAGTCTTCTAATTGAAAGCTAGATTTGGTTCCTAAGCTCTTCTAGTAACTCCCAGGATAAATCTATACAGCAATCTGAACACAAGAGGAAAAGCGCGAAATATGGAAGAAACGCTTTACTCCGAAGGTTCATTTGTGCACAGAAAATCAAGGGCATTTATGGTATTGTAGATGGCATTGAGATTCCGGAAAATTCTTGGACGCTACTAAACATAGTAACCGTATAGGTAATCATCCAATCAAAAACTCGACATGTGACTTTTTACTTTCTAGATGTTTCTGGCAAAACTTTTATTGAATGCTGATTGGATAAGATGTTTCTCAGAGTTTTCAGAACCTTCGTTAGCTTTTTTCAAGGAGTTTTCTGGATCGCCCCGGCAATATATATATATATATATATATATATATATATATATATATATATATAATGATTATTAATAAGTAATTAAAGATTTAGATTTTAGATAGCTGTGAATAAATCCTTATTGTTCGTCATATATTTCAATCGCTTAAGTGAAGTAGTTTTTTTCTAATTAAAAAACTTACCGTAAAACGGTTCAAGAACTGTTACGAGAATAAGTTATTGTAAAATTTCATGGTAATTTTTTGATTGATTTAACACATTAAGTAAAATCTATACTTACTACTTAGAATGATTATTGAACGAATGAAATGAATAAATTTTCTCAAAATGATTGTTAGTCATTTAAGCAATAGAAGACTGTTTACAACATAAAACAATTCTTATCAAAATAATTAATGTAGAACATCACATATATAAGTGAACAATATTGTTCTCGATTAGATGCTCATCAGAGTTTATTATAATAAACAGTAATATTTATATGCATATAAGATTGGATTGGTTGAAGTTAGACATTAACACCCTTGGATGCCGGCTCAGTGGTCTAATGGTTAAATGCTCGCGCGCGAAACCAATAGGTCCTGGGCTCGAACCCCGCTAGGTGCGGGGTCATGGATGGGCACTGATGAGGAGTCCCATACCAGGACGAGACGGCCGTCCAGTGCTTCCAGGCTTTCCATGGTGGTCTAGCTTCAATTGACTCATGATTTCAACTTGTGAAATATAAGAAATTATTAAACCAACCAAGGTAGTTTTTCTGAGTCAATGATAACAATGGAAATGATTACATAATCAGTAAAAAGTACAAACTGATAATGTGATGACAAGTGTATTAGTTGTGATAAGAATAATAAAGGCTTAAATCAATGTTACACAACCGAAAATAGGTCAATGATTCATATATACATATAAATATTACTGTATATTAAAGTAAAATCTGATGAAAATCTAATCGAACACAATATTGTTCATTTATATAATCAGCAACAATATAACCAAAATTCCAACTCTACTATCAATTATTCCATATAGGATATATATATATATATATATATATATATATATATATATATATTACTCAATTAAAACTTACTTCCATAACGGGTATTTCGATATTTGTATGCACTTTGTTGTTGATTATCTCCTGGCATATTTGTTTTTTTTTGAATTTTCAATCAACTTAAATCATAAACTTTCCAGTGAATTTTGTTCAAAAAAAGGTATCTTGTCACTGTTTATTAAATCTAACTGTTCGAAAGTGTAATTTCAAAAGAAAAAACAAAAAACCAAGTCATTGTGACATGAATGTTGATTAAAAGAAAGTTTCTTTTTCTCAAAATGTTGAACAAGAAAAATCTTTTCTTCTTTTAGATGTTTACACTTTATCTTTCATAAGAAAACAATCTTCACCAAAAAAAAGAATTTTTTTGATTTAAAAAATTGAATAATCGATGAATCACCTTCGTATAAACGAAATTGTTATCAATTGATGAAGAATGAAATAAGGACGAAATTTTTTAGTATTATTTTTCTTATCAGATAAATAAAAAAAACGGTGTAAAAAGTAAATTATGAAATTTTCACTGAATTCATTTATAGTTTAGTGAAACATTTTCGAATCATATTGTGTTAATAAAAGTGAAGCAAATTTTGTTTTAGAAAAAAAAGTACATTTTGTTTTACTTCAATATCAATGAAAAATAATGTATTATTCAATCTATTTCTGATTGGGAATCATTTACAATTTCTTATTGGTAGTTGAATACACACTTCACTAAATTAAATGAATCAATAAATTTGGTTAGTGTAATTTACTGCACAATTTTTGTATCTCTGTCCTTGGGAAATGGGATACAGAATATTGTTGTTATTGAAGAATAAACACATTCATATATATATGATGATGATGAAATCAATAATGTAAGCGACATGCATAAACACTTTTAGTCAATTTAAATTAAAATAGGACATTTTATTTAAATTTTATTTTCGTAATAATTCTACCAATCGTTATGGATATTATGCCCATTGAACATTAGGGAAGCTGAAAAAGTTTGGTTGATATTGATTTATTGACTTGTCTTCTTTGTTTGTCAAGTATTTATTCACTTTTATATATTAATTCAGATAACAGTGTTTCTTTCAAGAAAAGTCACTTACCTACCATTAAGATTATTGTACTCGAAATCTATGGCAGCTGTTATTCATTAAATTTAGTTTGTAGAAACATGAAGCATCTCACCTAATAGATACATATTTGGTCACACAGCGTCACCTAATAAGCACATTAAAGTAATTTATACGGTCAAACGATCTGATTCGACAGGAGTGCGAGTTACTGAGATATGTACTATAGAAGCGTTAGCAATTAATTTATTCAAACCTGAGCATTGTGTTCAAAAGAGACACATACAACCTATTGTTCATCCATGGCTATAATATCTAATTTTCATAAACTGTAATTTAGTTAGTAAGACACTTTTTTAATACTTTAAATCTCTTCAATTACAGTTATTCGTTATTATCAATTCAAGTGGACAATAAACTTTTACACAGTTGATTTGAGTTTATTATCTCTAAATTTCCGATTATTAAACAACTTTCTTTGATACATAATACAATATTATCGTCCTTCTATTTTTCGCTAGAAAATTTATTTGTAAATTAAATATAAATGAGGTTGTATAGCTTGAGTAAATGATATTGTCAAAAAGGTTTAGTTTACTGAATTATCTTTCAAGAATCTTATCCGCAATATCCTAATCATCATCAAGCCCAACTATTCATCCAACTTGGAATACTCTTCCAAAAAAAAAAAAGAAACGAGCTGTGATCTGTATAAACTCATTACCGGTAATATACTATAAAATCTTCTCTACTTCATTGCATTACTAGTCTCGTATTCTTCATAACCATATAGATATTAACGAGCATATACATATATGTTTGATTTTTAATGTGAGTAACATGATAGGACGATCAGACCTGCTTTTATTACGTTGAATATTTACTTATTTAATATATGGTAATCTTAAATTGGTTATTTATTCTTTAAGGAAGAGATTTGGATAAAATTATAATATGCCAGAATTTCAAGTATTTAGTTCTCAGAATATTCCAGTTACATCAATTTACTATGACTTCGAAATGTTGCTTGATGATTTTATAGAAATCAAAATTCTCTATCATTTACACAAAGGAATGTATAGTTTACAATAAAGCTGATGTTTGAAAATTAACAATAAATACCTTACAATATTTGAAGATATTTTTTTATGAAGAATAGAATGGTATTTGTGGTGTTTGAATTGACTAATGATACTTTTGTACATGTTGATTGCACAATTTCGAATTCCGAATACAGTACATTCGTTTATGCTTGTGACTTCTTAATTCAATTGCGTTATTTCTGGAACTCTTAGTTAGTACTATAATTCAAATAATTCGAAACATTATATTGGCGTCGTGATTGAGCCTGCAATGGAAAAGTTAGACATTCATTCAACTTCTGAAACTTTTGAGGATTATTTCGAAAGGTTCGAAATCTGGGTCATGACAAAGGAAGATGATGAGGATGTTAATATTGTGGCATATTTCCTCACATTCATCGGTAAAGAAGCATACAGCTTGTTAAGAACGCTGGCTATGCCGGAAAAAACCCATTTCGCTTCCTGATACAACTCTCAAGGCATTACTACTAGACCATGTCAAGTATGCAAATTTTGATTGCAGTAAAGAAGGGGAATTTCCTAAAATAATTCATCAGGACGTCAAAAATTCTACTACATCACGTCATTCCAATCCAATGCATACTCAAGATTTTGCAGATAATTCATTGCGGAGTTGCAGTGCGTTTCACGAAGATTGGCGAATGTTTGGTCAATGTTTGTCCTATGGCAAGTTCCATGCTTTTAATTCATGTAAATTTCGTAATTCTAAATGCTTTAAATGTGATGATATTGGATATATTCAGTCAGTCTAATGTTCATGTTATTGCAATTAATATTAAGTCTTGTAATTCTGATTCTACTGAGTCGAGTATTTATAATCATGATTTATCTTTATCAACTATTGCAATAGACAGTGTAGAGTCACAAAGCAGTTAACAGTTAAATCAAGTTCAGAATTCTTGCGAAACAACAGTTTCTCACCAATCGATTTATCAGAATTCTCATGTTATTATACCAGGTATGGTTTTTCCTAATGATTCACTTATTTCTGACGAAATTCCTTGCAAATCTGAAGAAAATATGTTGAATGAACATAATTATGATCAAAAACCTGATGTAGTTTTGATAGATACTAATTTTCCTGATGATCCATTACTCTGCAATGACATTCTTAATGGATTTCATGAGAATATTTCAGAAGAATCAAATCCTGATGTTATATCATGTGTTACCTTTCCTTATAATGCATTTGATCCTTGTGAAAAACATGTTCAATACGAAGCACGAGTATTAAGTGAGCTCAATTTTGATTACAATTTGGATGATTTCATACCAACTGCTGTTCACCCTTATCACAAACCCACTTCCAATGTATACTCTAGTCAATGTAAGAAATATGTTCTAAATGAAGTCACATTATTCATAACTTGGGGATATAAAGATCCAACATTATTTCGTGGGGGAGGATAGTGTTGAAAAATATATGGTTCCAATTCTAGATATCAATGATTTCGGTACAAAACCGACATGCTGATTGTATACAATTCCACGTTAGTGTGTTCCGATTTCGTTTGTTAATTCCAATACTAATGAGCACATTCTAGATACTATAAAGTTTTCATCCAGTACAATGTCGGACAGACTCAGGATGAACTTAACAAAAGACATACAACCGATTGCAAACACTTGTACTTCTATTTAAGCTGTGGCGGATGTGGTGTTTGAATTGACTAATGATACTTTTATACATGTTGATTGCACAATTTCGAATTCCAAATGCAATACATTTGTTTGTGCTTGTGACTTCTTAGTTCAATTGCGTTATTTCTGGGACTCTTAGTTAGTGCTATAATTGAAATAATTCGAAACATTGTAGGTAGTGCATGTTTTGAGCTGTTCAGTAAAGCAAGGAGCACACTTTTGAACTATATATTAAATTAAGCATAAAAAAATTCAGTATAGGTGATAGCACAGTGTCATCAGAAAAAACGATAACCGGGTCTCTTTATTATTATATATTGTTCGTAATATTATAATAATAGTTGTTCATGCAGTTCACACCCATTTATCTCATTCTGCTTTTGCTTTTTAGAATCTATCCCTTTTTATGTTAGCTTTATAGTTCGTGACTCTCTGATGTTCCATGATGTCTCCGAGTAATCATGAGCCCCCGGAGGGACTCCAGGCGGAGTTAATCATGAGCTTTACCAAGTCTATTAGAAGACAAACGGTTAACCTGGTTCCAGCAATTCGTCCAAAACCCAACCTTGATCTGACTTCATTGAGTTACTATTCAGTATTATTTCGAAGTATTAAGCGAAATTAGTATTGTTATTCCACTCCCCGTTGATGAGTGTAAAATAAAAAACCAATCGTCAGAGACGACCATGCAAAAGGAACAACTTTGTATTTAAACTCGGATAGGAGTCAGCCATTAATCATTCTACTGAAAGATGAACAAATGCACACTCCTCAGTAGACAATATAGATAACGAAGAGTACATGAAATAAGGATCTTTCAAACCCACTAATGATTTGTTTGTTTTCTTTAACCAAATGAAATATACTTAATAAATGAGTTGAATGGGACTCGTCACCATAAATCAACTTCATTTACTGTAAGAATGCGTTTGACAGTATTGACAGAAGGAGCCTGCGAAGACTTCGTCGACAATATTATGTACCTGAGATCGCCAAAACTAATCGGAATTCATACGATGCATTGCAGTGCAAAGTCGTGCATAGAGGAAAGCTAACGGAAGCACTTCAAGTAAGGACCGGACCCAGACAAGACTGTCTACTCCATCCCCTTCCTCTTCCTTCTGGTGGTCGAACATTTATGAAGACTTCGACATCTGAAGAAAAGCAAGCAATAAAATGGATGACTCATAATCACATGTACGATTCGGATTTCGCAGATGACCTACCCCTTTTATCCCATACACACGAACAAATGCAGACGAAGACAACTAGTGTAGCATCAGTAGGCCTCAATATACAAAGTTCCTCAGATACAAGACGGAGAACAGCAATCCAATCACTCTTGATGACGAAAATCTGGGAGAGTTGGACAGTTTTGCATACCTGTGAAGCATCATCGATGAACAAGGAGGATCTGATGCAGACGTAAAGGTGAGGATTTGCAAAGCAAGGTCAGGATTCCTACGATTGAGGAAAACATGGAACTCAAAACAACTGTCTGTCAACCAGTATCAAAGTCTGGATCTTCAATACGAATATCATGACAGTCCTACTGTATGGAGCTGAAACTTGGAGAACTACCACAACCATCATCAAGAAGGTACAAGTATTTATAAGTAGTTGTCTACGCAAGACACTCAATATCCATTTGCCGGATATTATCTGTAACAGCCTACTGTGGGAGAGGATAAACCAGCTTACTTTCGAAGAGAAAATTAGGAAACGACCTTGGAGGTGGATAGGACATAAATTCACAAAACTGCACCACGAGGCAAGCCCTAACTTGGAATCCTGAAGGGAAACGGAAAGGAGGAAGAACTGAAGAAGGTAATACTTCGGGAATCGGAGATAGACATGAAAAGAATGAATGGCAACTGGAAAAAACTAGTAAAGGTTGCCCATTACAGGGTTGGATGGAGAGTACTGGTGAGCAACCTATGCTCTTCCACGGGGTGTAAAAGAGATAATTAAGTAAGTAACTGTGTAAGTAAGTAGGGAAATAACATTATTAGTCGTTATTATCTCTCTAGACTTAATTTGGTCTCAAGACTTTTTGATTTCTTCAAAATTCGAAATACCTTAATTTCTCAAGATTGAAAGTCACTGTTATTTTGAGCATTAACGCTTCTTGACAACTTTACTTTTGCATTTGTATATGCAATAAAAATCATGATTTTTCAAAACACTAGCCAGGCAAGCGAAGTTGTGATTTCTATGTACGTGTGGTAGCGTTATTTAATGTACTGTTTTCATATTCTCTAATCCGGAGTTAAATCTGGGACATATCTGGCACACATCACTCCAATCTTCACACAAGTCCTTCGAAACGGCTTCTCATACTTCTAGCTTGCGATAATCCTTTAAAGTTATGGAAAGTTTAGCTTGTAATGATCTGCGCGGCTGCATATTGTCTGTGAATTTATTTGTAGCTGAAAACGAGTGTTTCAACTTTTTTTCACCCTATATACTTAATTCGTCTTAACCCACATTAAATATATTATTCTACCGTTAGCTCAGAAGTGTTCCTTGCAGATTTGAAACATCATGTTTTTAACTGTTACGATACGATGAGCCAGTGTAGACAACGATGTGACTTTTGCGTAAGATCTTACAGATTAAGCAGTTTCATCATGACAAATATACAATTAACAATCAGGTTTACTATTAGAGCAGTACTAATAACGAAGTAGGCCATAATTCTACAAGTCCTTCAACGTCGGATTTACTAGTGCCAATCACCTATAGAGATTATGTGATTATTGGGTACTATTCGAGTTGGACGGGAAGGGTGTGGTATCAAAGCCCATGTCTGGATTGAACCCCTATGATTAGCGCCTTAGGTGGATCAATCTCTCGTCATATCCGGGTTATACGGCTTCTTTGATGGCAGTATAGCATGAAGAAAGATATCGAAAAAATGTATCGCTTAAGATAGGTGCAAGAAACTGTGATCACTGCCTTATGGGTCGATTCATCATACGCAAATGAGTGATAAGCATTTATTGTGCTTAACGCTCATGATGGTCGGAAAACTCTTCTGTATTTAGTGACCTGACAAACGGATTAGTTGGCCAGAGCCAGTCAATATTTCACTTTCTCTACAGGAGGAAATAAAAGGGCAGGAGTACTTTTATATTCACGAGAAAATTTAACCAGCTACATTTCTCACCGTCTGAAGTGTTAAAAAATTCATTTGTGAAGTGAAATTTTATCTTGACTAAGAACTCAGAACAGCATCTTTGATCGATCTAATATAACTCCTATTATTTCAACTTGATTCATATACCTCAATCCTTAGCTGATTCATTAGTACCAAATACAAGATTCCGTTAATCTCGTTCGTAATCTCGTCCTCGACCATTTTGTCATTTAGACCAAATCCAGTGTGGCTATCGTTTTAATGCATCACATTAATCATTGGCCGGCTAACCGGGTATTTTGTTCCAGCTCTTGAAAGTCGTGTTTCTTCGACTAGTGGACATTATGATCATGTAGATTTATCACTGTTTGCATCACTTAACGTCCACATGTCCAAGCGTAGACGAGTAAGTGTTGAGTTGATTAGTTTATTTGCATAAAGCGAGATTTGGACTTGTCTAGTTCTAGTAGTAGTTCGGATTGCATTTATGACAGTTTATTGTGGAAGTTTGTTGACGAAAATTATGAATTTTTGATAAATGACGACTTCCTGGAGCATTGCAAGGTAATCATATATTTTAGCTTTGGATTTTTTAGCATTCCGCCCGCGATGAAAAGTCGACCACACAAGCTGATGCCTCTTTTGAATCTTGCATTGTTTTACTGGAAGATTTAAGTGAGTTGCTTCGTAATCTTCGTCAACGTATGGAATTTGACGGCCCTGGAAACTTCCAGAAGTACTTAGAAACGGTAGGTTACCCTCAGGTTAACCCGAGGGTAATAATAATTATTATGAATTGATGTCTTCAGTAATAAGGATAGGATGTCTATCGACATATATTAATCCTTGTAGTTTGTAATTCTGTGAAGGTCCAATCTCATTTTGAATATATATCAACAGAAGGTGCTTATATTACGTGTTCCGGTAGAGGACTCCAGTAATTCACTGATCGGTGCGAGAAACGAAACTCCAGACGTAAACGATTTGATCTCGGTTTTTGAACTTTATTCGAATGTCCTTTTAAATGACCAGTCCTAGACGGAAGCAAACGATAGGGCATGTTAATACCAAGGTCATCGTTCAGTATACGATAAGCCAATATTAGATCACCCCGTTCTCTACGGTAAGATAACGGAAATAAGTTGAGGTGTCTCAATCTGTCTTCATAAGATAGGCCAGATAGATCTTGTACCATCTTAGTACCTCGTAGTTGGACTCTTTTCAGCATCTCTGCTTCATACTTGGAACAAAGACTCGCTGCTTGAATCCCATATTTTAAATATGGTCGCACATAAATCGGGTATAATAATCTAAACATTTAATCATCTAAATTCTGGAAAGACCTACGAATAGACCATAATACCCTTTAGCCTTTCGTAGCAGCAGCCTTACAATGACTAGTGATTTTAAGATCACTGCTTAATATGACTTAAATTTTTATAGTTTCTTACTTTGAGTAGCACGAATCCACCACATCGGTCACGGTGAGTTACCGTTACACTATTGAGGGTAAACCTCTTCCATGCGTTCAATAGCATGAAGACTTAGAAGTAGTATTAAGTCATGATTTAAAAACAACTATACATTGCAAAGCAGCCGCTGTCAAAGGTTTTCGTGCGTTATGGTCACTTCGTCGGGCGTTCAAATCTTTTGACGAGGAAACGTTTCGAATTTTATATCCCATATATGTTAGACCACATTTAGAGTACTGTATCCAAGCAGCCAGCCCGTGTCTGGTAAAGGATACTAACTCCCTTGAGCGTGTCCAGCGTGTGGGAACAAAATTAGTGAAGGGTCTTTCTAGACTCCCTTACGATGAGCGTTTAAAACGCCTAAATCTTTTCCCCTTGTCGTATCGTAGGACACGAGGTGACCTTATACTGGTATTTCATATCTCTAATTATGATTTGGGCGTTAATATGCCTCCAGAACTAATAATCTCCAAGGTCATAGTAAGAAGGTTCATAAACCACGATCTAATAAACTTAAAGTGGGATCCCGTTTTTCTCATCGAATAGTCAATCATTGGAACGCTTTATTCGAACAAGTCGTATCAGCCTCATCAGTGAATACTTTCAAGGAGAAGCTGGACGTTCACTGGAAAGCAATGTGTGAGGATTAATACAGGTTCACCAACCTACTATCCTTATTACTGAAGACTGATGCGATTCATCATAGTTATTTATTTGCATCACTACACTCTTATTAGAATTTACTTCTGGTGACCACCTGTCCAACCATGCCACCAATTAGTTAAGATCATTCTGTAACACTATGCTATCCGACATACTGTGTATGGGTCTCCGAATTTTCATGTCATCAGCGAAGAGTAGAACGAATGATTTCGCTATAGTTGGTAATTCATCTACATAAAGTAAAAAGAGAAGAGGACCGAGGATTGTACCTTGGGGAACTCCACTTTTTACAGGTACCTACGAGGAGAGAGCCACATTTACCTTTACCCTTTGTCTCCTGTCATGGAGAAAGTTACCTATCCAATCTACGACTGTATAATGGATTCCAAAACGTTCCACTTTGAATTTAAGACTAGAGTGGGAGACTTTATAGAAGGCCTTAATTAGATATATGAAGATCACATCCACGGGAATATGCTAGTCTTTTGCAGCAGCCCAATCTTCTCTTGCAATGGGATTTGTCAAGAATGATAGGCCTCTCCAAAAACCATGTTGTTCCATGGAGAAAATATTATGCCCTTCAACACAGTTTATAACAGATATCCGAATGATTTTTTCCATCAGTTTTACAACTGCACTAGTTAAGCTAACGGGCCTATAGGTACTAACTAAATCCCTACTCCCAGCCTTATACACCGAACTTATTATAGCGTCTTTCCAGTCTCTGGGCGTTCTGGACTGCCTCAGAGACATGTCAATCAGTATCGCTAATGCTTCAGCAATTACAGCTGATATGGCTTTCATAATCCTAGGATGAATATCATCAGGATCAGTGGACTTATCAGGTTTGAGATGCTGAAGTCGCCTTAAAACAGTACCTTCCTCAATGACCGCAGGGTCTATCAGCGAGCCGCCGCGGTCACAATGAATCGTTGGTCGTTCCTCATTATCGATAGAAAACACTTTACTGAATTATTCCAATAAAGCCTCAGCTTTTTCGGTATCATCTCTGTCAAGACTAACGGATTTTCTTGTATCAAATTGTTGGAATTCCATCGCTTCTCCGAGTTCGCCTTTCATATGATTATCTAGTCTTACTTATTAACGCTTTATAGGCATTCCTAATCTTACAATAACTGGATATGTATTGTTCTAAGCCAGTAGAGATGAACATATTTCAGTGCTTCTTCCTTTTTTTAAGGGGTTTCCTGACTGTTTTAGTTATTCATGGTGGACTATTATTCGGTCTTCGCGGTACCAGGTATGGAGGACGTAACTAAACTAAACTTACCTTTAAATACAGAACATGTTTCTTCAACTGATAAGCTAGTATCTACAAACCGATCTGTCTTAGCAGCGCATTCCTGAATGGATGATATGTTAGCTTTCCATACATTTGGGCGGGGTGTAACCTGATCGTATAACATGTCCCTAGTTCTAAACATGAATGACAAAACAGCGTGATCGCTGTTCACTAACGGCGGAAGAATATTTAGGTCGACAGTATCCTCAGTATCATGCGTGATTACCAAGTCCAACAGAGAAGAACCTTGGTTAGCACCAAAACGTGTGGATTGAACTTATATTTTAAAACTACAAAATTATTAGATGGAGTTCATTGCTTTTCGGTACGAGGCTAGTTTATGCGACTAAGTTGCTTTGAAATAGTTGCCTACTATAGCAAGTAAACGAAACGTGACATTTCTCTGTCACTATATTTGTCTTTTAGACCATCCGTGTTTTGTATTTGTCGAGGTTACCTGATGAATTTAGTAATTTTTGTTTTGCAAATTAGTATGATGCGACTATTTGATGCACTATTTGATCTATATGTAAACATTAAAAAACAGGTTCAATTCGTAAGTTGAGGTAGTAACAGTATTAGCGCTAATAGAAAGGATTGGTCGTTCAAGATACACTTTAACAACATACGAACCAGTAAAATAAAAAAGTATCAATACTTCGTGAGCTGAAAATTTGGGGGAAAACAATGAGTAGATGTGCTTAAGCAATTAAAAATTATATCGAGTTGTCATTCAAAATTTCTAACTATCGAGTGCATTAATCGCGCCGACACGTCTGTTAACATGACTCAGTTCAATTGTCAACGAACTCATGGGCTGGGTTCGCGTGATTGTCGTAATTAGTGGTTAGAATTTTCGAATTACATAGCTTATAGGTTTTCAATCTCTGAATTCGCACCATTATGCTCAGTTAACAACTCTACTATATTTTAAGTTTCAACGAATAGCGTTCGTCATGACGTCGATTATTTATCCCCATAAAAATAATACCTTTATGAAAATGGAAACCTCGGTTGTCCAGTAAGCTTTTTGAAAATTCATAATGGAAACTCATACAGCAAGTCAAGTTTGTAACCATTTGGTTATGACCCAGTGAAATGATATGATTAATTATTTGCAACTATTCACTGCTTTTGTTAACCACTTCGTATGTGGATATCAAGATTTCAGCCTGTTTGAAAACTCGGTACTTTGAAAATATTGTAATACAAGCGTGAGAATGTCGTCTCTTTCGAACGTTGATTGTTAATTTTTTTGTTATATCAACGTTAAGTTTATATGTACCTGAAATTTTACCAAGAAACTTTCTTTTCTACAGACTCTTACAAATGAAATTCAGCACTATGAAAGAAGAAAACATAGTATCATTAACTCAATACTGTCCACCTTAGGTGACAAATACCAGAGCCCATTGCCACCATCAGAATTACGCAACTTTTCCGTAGCTTCTGATCTAATCCCTAAGGAACTCGATAAGAAGTCTGGTAATCTTTTACGCATATTGGGTGAACTTCAACAGGAGTGGGATGAAACTATTCGTAAGATTACACCAATCAGTCCATTCACTAACCAAATCAGCTTTTTAGAAGGTGAGTACTGACTACTTATTTTTCGATTATTCATCTGTGTAATACTAAGAAATTTTATTTTTCGATCTTTTTATAAATGAATGATTTTCACTAACATTTAGGACTGATCCGCTTACAGATGAATAACCTGTGTGTTTACCAACTAATGACCTTTCACATTCCACATACGTTCTTCGCTGAATAGGTTTTATCAGTTTCCATCGCTTGTTTTGTTATTTTCTATGGCTTTCTTTTTTTTTGAAAGTAATAAGTTGACTTTTTGTGTTGGTGATAATCACACTTTTGAAATGTGGAACTTATTTCTATCTAGGCTACATAAGATTGCGACAAAGTTATTCGGTTTTATTTGAGTATTGATTTTATCTTGCGAACTTGCAACATATGAATGACATTGCAATATGTCTTCTATGGTTTATATCAAAATCTTTAAAAATTTGATCTACCACTTCAAGCTCTCTTGCTGATATTCACCATAACATTTCGGTTTGTACCACTATAGCCTTTCAGTTTGTGTTATTTCATCCATGAAATTCAATAATTATTCTTTGATAAGCGTTATTTTCAATTTTAGTTCCTCTTTTTCGTGATTTTCAACTACACTTAACTGCACTTCTGTTTCTCATACCCTGTACAATGTCTATTGGTTTATATATCAAAGTGAATAATGTTTACTAAATTCGTCAATCATCTGTTTACTATGAAAGTTGACTTTAATGCTATCATTGTTGATATTTTTGTCATTATTATTATTATTATTATTATTATTATTATTATTTGAATACTAAAGAGACAATATTTAAGAGGTCATACCTAGCTTAGTCTGAATGCTTTCTGAAATAAGGCGATTTAAATAAATAGGAATGTTACCAGTGTTCATATTCATTATCATTGTTGCAATGACATGGAAGTTTATAGGTCTTTTATATGAAGTTATTATGTAAATGACAATGATGATGATTAGCACTTACTATTAACTTCAACCAAACCTACACTTCAGTACTTTGCTTTTACCTATTCATTTTTATTCTGCCTAACGACTGAGAAACGATTCTGGAAGAAATTTAAATAGAATTTCTAATTGAGAAGTTTTAACCTGGAATGTTACTGAAAAGAATTATGCTGTTAAAAGGTTAAAAATATTGAGGTAGGATTTCAGTAAGGTCCACTAAATATTATCACACTTAAATTGTATCATGAGTTAAAATCCTTATGAATTTTTACGTTCACAGAAAAGGCGGTACTATTCTTATACATGACTCAGTACGTCATTAGTAAAAAAAACACTAGAAAAAGGTCGATTTAAACGAACTAGTGTTTGTGTGCTAAAACATGAGCAAGGTTGAAGTGACTTCTTAGTTATCTGTTCATGAATAATAATTAAATATTAAATGATACCATGTATCTTTCCTCATCAATTTATACCAACCACTCTAGAGATGAATTTAATTCACATAAGGTAAAAGTCCTAAACAGAGGACAGATAAAAGGTTTCAGCGAAATTTTCAAAATTTAACACTCAAAGCAACCGGTATTTGTTGTAACGTCTGAGTGCAGGTTTTGATACGCAGCGTTTATATCGATCGACCGGTTACAGTGACTCGTAAATACGTACGAACGACCTAGTGCCCTGATTGGCCCTGCTTCCCTGTCTATCCCAGCCAGTTGAGTCCAGAACAAAGCCACAGCCTCTGAGATATGAATCATTATATTTCAAACACACTCTGTTTATATACTAACCAAGCATACCACATCGTACCATAAAAAATAGGAAACAACATTTACACAATATTAAATAACTGAAGCAAATATCGACCAATAGGAAATGTACATTTAACGTCCAAGGACACCATTCGACTTGGCACGATAATTATTGGCATATTCCTCTGCATACCTAACAGTATTCAATTAGAATATTGACGAAATCAATCAACCAAATAGATGAAGGTAAAACAACTATAAGCCTGGAGATTCTGTTTATAAAACAATCTTGTGGAATAAAACAGTCGGTAGTAAAAATCAATCACATACAAAACTGTCAAGAAAAACTTTCAAAAAACATGTGGAATAACTTTCATACTTCTTTTTTCTTAAGATTCCGTGCCTCAAGACCAAACCGTCATCCTTGTTTAACTCAATTCTTCTAAAAAATTACTTCAGCTATTATTTATTTCACCAATTTTGGTTTTCTTATTACCTTGTAAGAAGAACTACCGAAATTACATGTTCAAACGTAATTTTAACACGAATTGACAACATTTATAAGAGTCATTGAAAACTATCGTCACTAGATAGTTGTCTCATCCAAGTATTCGATTACCTCACAAGTACTCACCTAAGATGTCAAAAGAGATTAAACTTGAAATATTCAAATCTCACAGCTAGCATGATAACCTTAGATAGTTCAGTCAGTCAATCAGTTACAACATAGGACCAGGCACATAAATGCATCGGTCCAAGTTGCCACACCTCAGCACAGCAAGATGAACACCGGATTCGTAGAAGCAGTTAACTCAATGGTGTAATGTATAAAGGAAAGATTTTATGTAAAGATGTAGTACAGAAAGAAAGAATTAGTTTGTAAAAAGAAAGATATGAAATAAATTTAATCTTAAGGTTTAAGGAAAGACAAAAAGTGTATACACCTCTATGCCATTGTGAGCGATTCCGAGTCATGTCACACAGAGTCTCCAACCATTTGTTACGATAGTCGCACAGACCCCAACCAAGTAGTCTGCATCTTCCAATATGGCTTAGACTAGAAGTTAGTGACTTCAAACACTGATGCCACGTTTTGGTTTGACTGCCCCTAACTTTCTTCCAATCACCCCCAACACTAGTCAGCATTGCACATCGTGGTAATCGGTGTTCAGGCATACATAACACGTGGCCCAACCATCTCAGTCGATGAAGATTGACAACCTCATCAACCGATTTACCATCATTCCATAATACCTTGCATCTAACCCCACTATTACTTATCCGGTGATCCCAGAAGATGCCAGCAATATTTCTAAGGCATCTGTGGTCAAATACAAGTATCTTACGAGTATCTTCTACTGTTAATGGCCACGTTTAATCGGCCTAGTTGGACTTCAAGGATGCAAATTTCCCACTTCAGCAAATTCTCTGGCGTGATATGATGATGAAAATCACTTTCAAAGAATACAGAATTTCTAAAAAATCATCTTAGTTAATAAATCTTTAACTTAAAGCAGATGATTTTGTCAATGAAGTGTTTTGTCTTTAAAAATTTAAAGTAAACGTCACCATTGTTTTTACTGATTATAAGGGTTGTCAATCAGACAAGAAGAAAAGTGTATCCATTTTTGGAGTAAACCAATGAAAATATCGAACTATATTTTGCATCACCAAATTTTAAGGTCACTCGAAACAAACATTTCATAATAGAAGAGGTCACGTAAACTCCTTTTTTCCTTTTGTTAACCGATGTTCAATTCTTTATTGATCAATGTTTTCTTTGATTTTACAAGTAAGCTAAATGGAAAACTTTTATGTATACCTAATCTTACAAGGAAATACCTGTATTCTAGTCGAATTAAGTATTTTACTTACCAAGAAGACTGGCTTACTTTTATAGTTTCAGCTGATGCTCCTTGTTGTCTTTCAATCTATTCCTAAGCACACAGTAGCTACAGAACCAAGTTAGTTTTGACTCTCTTCTAGTTTTCAGGAATGATTTACTTATCCATAGCACATCTGTCGAAAAAGCAAATATATACAACTTGTTCTTTTATGGTGAAGATTGAATATCTCGATTACGAATTTGATCATGCCTTTATTATATTTTGTTCATATCAGAGGTACAGAGCTGATGTAAGTCGGTAAATTAGTTAAAAATAGGCAGTGTAGAAATTAAGGATTTTTATAGGTAATGAATAACGTGACTACGATATATGCTGTTCATTCGAACTCCAGTGTCTTACGACTATTGGAATAGTATTTAAGTAAAAAGTGGTTGGCTATTTAGACTCATTCATAGTGCTCACTTCTTAAGTTACAAAGTTTAGTTCTTGATTTGTGTCTGAATTGGGGCATAGGATTAGTGGTTATGCAATAAATTTTGATAATTAACCACAATTATTTTCGTAATATTGATTGTCTTAAGAAAGTGAACAAAGGGTTACTTCCTTTATATGCATACGTTTATATTATTCTAAATGGTATCAAGATAACGGATTAGCAGAATAGGAACACGTCAATGTAGACGTTTGAGAAAACATAAAGATACAGATTGGGAAGAGTATGCGGGAGAATAAAAATACTTAAAACTTTTAAAAAATTGAAACCCGATAACTTTGATTTCACGCACTTATCAAAGTACTTGTACTTAGTAGGTTGCATGGTTGAAAACACTGGCCCGGACCGTTTACTTCTATATTTCTAGATCTTTCTGACACATAATTTTCTACTAATACTCATTGCAAATTTTTAACTTATCATAGTTTTCAAATCACGAACTGATTTTAGTGAGACCACCATTGAAAATCTGGAAGCACTGGACGGCCGTTTCGTCCTAATATGAAACTCTTGATCAGTGCGCATTCACGACCATGTATCCAGGAATGGGACTTAGGACCATCTGTGTAGATCACTAACGCCTAACGTCCAGAACACTGGGTTGAGATTCAACATTGTTAATACATAACTTCGAACAGTTCTCTATTTTATTGTGACGTTTTTCTATTTCTTAATAACTTTCAAAAATGAAAGAGATCGACCAATTTCTGTTTCTTGCTGCACACAGTTGTTCAATAGTGATTATCACATCGGAAATAAATTAGTAACTTTCAATTGTTTTTTGTCAATCTAATATACTTCATTAATTTTCGAGAAAAATCAATCCGTCTACTTTGAGAAAATGTAATCAGTTCAATTGTAATCAGTTAATCAATCAAAGCTGCAAACAAATTATTAGTGATAGTGACTATAATTCAAATACGTAGTGTACACAATCGCTTTTTTTATCATTCACGATTGGA